TTTGGACAAATTGCACCATCAAGAGTGGTTAACTTGTAGAACATTTCTGCATCTTTACAAGATAACAGTGGATATTTTTCTAATTAAGCTAAACCTTTGGGTAGTTTCTGTAATTATCCCATTTTCTTTCTTTCTTTCCGAGAAGTTATTTATGCCTGACAGAGTGTTTTATTTTCAGCAGGTTTATTTATTGACTGAGAAAGTGAAATTTATCAATATTATCAAGATTTTTCTTACAAAGACATTTATAGTCTTAAAGAGTTATGGAACAATATATGAGGAATTTTGAAGCCAAGAAGATGCAACAGTCTCAAGGAAAGGCTCAAACTATGTTGATTGATGAGGTAATAAATATCTACAATAATTCTTACAACTTTTTTTTTAAGAATGTTATGCAAGAATTTGATATTTGAATTGTTATATTTTGATAATTCGACATAAAAATCAATGTAGATCGAACAGCTTCGAAAAGAGCTCGATGGCCAAATCACCATACGTTCCCTGTTAGATAAATCGAATAATTATTGTTTCTATTTTAAATATGCCAGCGTTCGTGTTTTACTATCGTGTTCTCGTTTTTATCTACTTTCTTTGACATAACTAAGATATACTAACTCTATTTCAGATTTTTCTTTTCGTGTCGTATTCTTATTTCGTGTTGTAAAATCGCACATTTTTCACTCCTATTAACTTTGTGTTCTCCACATTCACCAGCCTGCAGAGGATGATCTTGTCCAAGAAATTTCGCTTCTCGAGTTAGAAATCGTATACCTCAAAAAATATCTCCTCTCATTATACCGAAAAAATTTCGCGGAAAACCAAAATCAGACAATATTGCCCTCATATCAATGGACTCCGGCATATACCGAAGCCATTCGTCTTTATCCCATCTTTCGGTTTGTTCGTTTAGGGCTTCTTCACCCACATTCGAATATTGTGAAATGACATAATTACCCTTACTATAAAAATTCTTTCTGAAAATCCAAGTTTTGATACTAATGATAATTGTGTCATTTCACACACTCCAGATGGTTATTATTCATAGTTGGACGAAAAGTGGTTATATTCCATATTTGCGTTTGCTACTTGGCTATAAAACCAAGGCACTGTTGTAAAGTAATATAGTCCGAATTATAGTCAGAAAAAAAAATTTGCTCGACAAATTTAAACCGTGCATTTTGTTAATTTGTTTTTCTTGAAGAGGACACAAGATACTACTACAAACGATAATAAGTCAGAATGCAACGTTATCGAGACGCCTAATAGGGTATCTGTGGAAATGATCAAATGCATCTCGACCGTCTATTGTCGCCTGTTGGATGAAGATTCATTGATGGGCTCGTGGCTCGATAATCCTCCGGAAGGAAATGAAGAAGCTTCCGGAACTTTCGAGATATGCGGCCTCTTACGGGACTCTGGGAAGATGAATTCTGTTCAGGACATGTTACATAGTCACAGGTAAATTGATTTTTTTGTTATATATAATGAGTGAACAATTTAAAGATGAAAATGTTTATGATTTTACATCAAATTTGATCAACTGTTAATTTTCAATGTTGATTAATTATTTCAGATCTTTGATTTCTAAGCTGGCACAAGTTGATCCTGGGAGATTAAACCATGATGAGAGATTAGCATTTTGGATTAATGTTCACAATGCATTAGTTATGCATGTAAGAAAATCTTCTCTGTTTTAATTTTTATGCATTTTTTTTTTTTTGTANTTTTTTTTTTTTTGTATTGTTCAATTTTTATGTAATTCCCAAAAGAAGTCTAAAGAAAGTGTCTTTAGTTCGGGTATATATATAGATATCTGAAAATTAAGATTTAAGATAACTTATAATTTTACCTTAAAATTAATTAATAATTTTGTTCTTTTTAGGCTGCATATAGCATTGGAGGCCATACCATAAGTGTGGACACAATACAGAGTTCCATTTTAGGCTGCCGTTTGCCTCGTCCGACTTCGGTATATAACTTTGTTCGATTCGACCCCATATTTTCAGGAATATTACTAAAACTACCCGAGATGTTTAACGTATTTACGCAAAAAAGGCGCTTTCTTGCAGTGGCTTCATTCCTTGTTTTCCCCAAAGAAAAAGTTTAAAGCAATGGATTGAATTGCCTTTTAGTCATGTGGTATAAAATTTTGTTCCAAGATTCTAATATTTTGCCTTTTAGTCATGTGGTATAAAATTTTGCTGCAATCTCTAAATTTATAAATTTTTTAATTAGCAATCTAAGTTCTATACTTTAAACTTTTGTTGCAATTTCAGTCATTTGAGGACTGAATTGCAACAAAATATTAAATCATAGGATCAAAAAGTGAAAAGTTGAAACCTTAGAATTAAAATTTCTATGACATTAAATCAAGAGGACTAAAAATGCAATTTTGCTTATATATAAACAAAAAGGTGCAAATATGGGGATTTTTTGTAATTAGACGAAACTTCAAGGGCTTTTTTATTCGTTTGTCGAATTTCGTGAAGGTTCGTACGTACACTCCTAAGAAAGTGTCCCAAGAGCTAGAGATGGCTAAAGAATATTACATTCGAATGAATGTAAAGCTGCATAAAGAACGAAGATTGCGCGTCGTGCCAAAGAAAGTCGAGCATTTTGTTAAGGAGATTGGTGGATTGTCTCAATCAAGCATAGATCAAATAGTCATGCATTCGATGCACGACTCGATTGATGTTCGACTTTCCGGAAAGTTCTGGAAGAAAGTCGACTGGATTCCGTACGATTTCGCCTTTCGGATTCTGCTATCTAATGAACTAGTTAGTTATACTTATAGGTGACAAAAAATGTGAAATTTCATCATCAATACCGCTACATACCCCTCCAACTTCTACCGCCTCAATTAACTCCCTGACGTGTCAATGTAAGTCATTGCTTTTTTTTTCACCATATTCTGCATTTTCTGTTGTATTTATTATTCATTGTAACAAGATGGAATGTTTCATGACTTTCATCCAATATAATATGGTGAGATTGGTTTAAAATTTAATAAAAAGGAAAAATGGCCCAGGTCAAATTTTTGGATTCCGACCCAGAAAATAATTTTAATAAAGGAAACAAAATTAATAAAAAAGGAATTAAGGATTAAATGGATTTGATTTATTAAAAAATAATTTTCACGGATTTTATGGTTGCAATTTTAAAAAAATCCAAGATATCACATTGGATTAAATTCCAACTTTTTTTTTTCTTTTTTCTTATTTTTATTTCGAAAGAGACGTTATCATATCAAATATACACGTGGGAAAATCAAGAATTTCCAATAGAAAACCGCACAAATTATGGTAACTCATTAAATGCGAAATCATAAAAAAGAATCTTTCACAAAATTAATTCTGAGTTCTCCAATCCTTTACCTTAAATTAAATATAAAATATATATTACCGCCATATGCTATATATAAACACACGGCTTTACCATATATTACATAATCCATTACAAGGCTTTTGGGCAAAAACCATATAAAGAATTAGAGCAAGAAACCTCTAAAAAAATCGCCTCGTCAAGAACTCTGAAAGGTACCTCATTAATTTCTCTCTTTATCTCCTTTTTCTTGTTTGAAATTTGAAATTTACTTGGTTATTTTTAATAAGCATTCCCATTTTTTTTTCGTATTTCAAAACCATTGATCAAATTATGAATTCAAAACGTGTTATTTGTAATCGAGATTCAATTTTTCACCCTCACTAATTTTCATTATTCATTAATCAAAGTGTTTCAAACCTAAAAAAAAAAATCATTGATTTGAATTCGAATTCAATGAACTGTTTTAAATGTTCTTGAAACCAATGTGTTCGTAATGAATTCCACTCTGTTTGTAATCAAGATTCAATTTTTCACTCTCACTAATGTTCACTATTCATTAATCAAAGTGTTTCAAAGCTAAAA